TAAAATACTTTCATGTGTAATAGCAATCGATACTATATTTTTCTGTCAAAATTGTGTTTGTAGTAAAGAGAGTCCATTGTAGTAACAATATTTCATTTTGTTTTGCTCGTTGATGTTGTTTTTTCTGTTGTTGTTGTTCTTTGTTGTCGTTGTTTATTTATTCTTTTACTATTTCTTTTCCAGAAATTTACATTCTTTTATAATCTAGATCTATTAAGTGTAAGACATTCATCCTCCTTTACTGTCATCGGTTAAAATCAAAGTCAGAAAAAATGTTAACATAAATACTATTTTGAGAAGGTAACTTGCTATCTTGTGCACTTCGTCAACAATGCCCTGTTTTATAATTTTTTCATTGATGCTTGTACACTCTACTGGTGACTGTAGAAATCTAGAAACTCATATTTTTAGCCTATATTTTTATTTGTACATACGTGTTATCCAAAGAAGAAGTATAAATATTTAATTTTGGATAAATTTAGTGTAAGTTAAGTTTTAAATTGTATTTTCAACATCAGTATAGCTATAGTTTGTAATAGAAAATCGTCATTAAACCAGTCAGTTCCTTTCCTTTTATAATTATCTGTACAATATAGCAGAGATCTTATAACGGAGATCTTATGATTGTTAAAGTTCTTCAAAGTTCTTCAAGCACAACTAATTATAATTAGTAATAACATATTTCATAAAACAATACCATGGATATATTCTATTCCAAATCAAATGAGCACTAAGTTGAATAAGTCTTTCATCTCATTGTGTCGAAACAGTCATAATGTGAGCAAATTTAAATGACTTCCGCATAGTCCCATGTTTTTGTTTCACAAGTGTTTGTTTTGTTAACCATTTTGTTTGGAAATATTCGACACCGCATCTCTTCAGCTGAATACGCGAACGACATACAATTGTCAATTTCGCTGCATTTAACGCCGCACACTATTTTATTTCGATAGTTTCTATATCTATTAACATCTTCGGTGGAATTTGCAAAAAGCCGGATGGTTCTTTTACACATTTTTTCAAAAGCATAAAACTTAACTTTTAATGTCTCTACAAACTGCTGGGTACACGCTGCATATATTGACAAAGTTACAAGAAACACCAATAAAATCCGACACATATTTACAACATTAATATGATTAGTTTGAAAAACTTTTAGCTATGTAGTGAAAACAACGGTTTCCTTATATCACTATCGTAATAATGTTTTCACTTCAAATGGAACAGCAGTCCTACAGGTATCTTAATGAACTTTTTTGTCATTGACACTGATATGCAGTGGACCAAAACCGCTTGTCCAACTGGGCACAAATATTACAGAATGTTTTAATTATTGTTATAAAAGAAACAATTTCATGAGTTGAATGAATAGAAGGTTACGGTGATAAGGTATTGAATTGTTATGAGATGTGACGCAGAGGGAGGCCGTTTGTCAACAATTATACATCAGGGTAGTATTAAGTTGGTGACAACTAATGGATACATCGTTGAAATTAAACAATTAACTTGTTACTTTGTCATTCCTACTTGATTAATGTTTAGTTAAACACAAATAATTCAATTGATGATGCATCTAAATTAAGTCAAAGGCAAAAAGATTTCATTTATTTTATTTAATTATTGGAGAAATAATTGCTCTACTGTCGGCTTTGTTGACCAAGTTTGAGATCATTAGAATTGTTCGTATATAACGTATAAAATACAAATTGGTTGGAATATGCAGACTTTGAAATCAAAACAACTCACTCTGATCTAATCTTAATTGATTTTTAAACTGCACATGAAAACTTAATTCGTTAAAATTCGAAAACACACGTAGCACATTAAAAATTTGTTTTCAGCATGTGATGGATGTATTTTCAAATATTAAACTGTACATTCTGTTTAAGCTAATGCTGAAAGGATTTTACCACTAATTAGCATGCCTAACACATATGTCTTTTCTAAAACAAGATGAAATGTATTTTCTAAAAATACTTGTATCAGTTACAATTTTGAGATTAAATTCTGTCAAATAAATGTCATAAAAAGTTTTAAAGCTATGATTTATCTTGATATATTTCAAAAGGTGAAATATCTTGTCTTACTATGTCATATCTTGTACTTTGAATGCTTTCATCACAGCATATTGCCTTAATGTGACAGATAGAAATAAAAGTTCATGTTCACACATGGTAATAGCTTGCTAAACATTGATATCTGATCAGACTGTCGTATAATCTAATTAGCAATATATAAATATAGAGCTTACTTTGATTGATTGTGAACGTTTTAAGGATTTCATAACTTAGATTATGTTTTAATGCATTTGGGGGATAAAACTTACGACTTAAAGTAAAGGGTCTCGCACAATAATGAAATTGCTTAAAGGTCCATTATGCCCAATATGTTCTTCCATTTTTATTCCTTAAATTAAAGCTTTTCAGGTATACTGCCCTGTAACAGTTTTCAAAATATTACTCATACCCTAATTTTCTCAACTATCGTTTGCTTTTGATGCGATTTGGCAATAAATACAGTTACGGGGGTTTAGTATTTTGTATGGAAGTCAAAATACTACTTTTGTGGAAGGAATGTTTGATTTATATTTTATTGTCAAATTCTCTAGGTCTGCGAATTTTACACATGCAAATTCATATCATTTCGTAAAACAGTTGTCAAATTCACTAATTTGAGGGGTTTTTTTTATAAACTAATCAGGTTAATGTTTTAATTGGTATAATTAAGTTAGATGATGAAACGAGTATATTTTGCAGATTTTGTAGCGTAAACACTTTACACATTAAACGACTTTCAATCCAGACAAAACCTTTTTATCTTTTTGAGAAAAATGTCATAATATGTACTATTTTATGTTTTATTTCAAGGCAATTTGTAATTATATTTTAAAATAAATGAAACTAATCAACCGGATATGTAAATATCTGTCAAATAAGTAGAAATATATAATGGAGATTTGTAATTTTATTTGAAGTAAAAACAGTAAATTACTTACGGGGATATGTAATTATATGTGAAATAGATGGAAGGAACTTTCGGGAGTATGTAATTATATGTGACATGCATGAAAATAACCGGTGCGGATATGAAAATATATGTGAAATAATTGGAAATAACCTATGGGGGTATGTAAATATATGTGAAATATATGGAATCTATCGATGTATTTATGCCAATTCATTTTTCATAAACCTCGAACTATAAACACTTCGATTGAAATTTACGACAGACCGGTGGTGACCTTTTAACTTCTTATATTCTCGGGTTCATCTTCAATTCACAATTTCAACTTCATGAATTAACGATTACAACTTCATGAGTTCACAATTTCATCTTCACGAATTCACGATTTAGACCTCACGGATTCAACTTCATGAATGCACGTTTTGAACTTCATGATTTCAACTTAGTGAATTCAATTATGAATTCGTGAAGTTTCAAACGTAAAGTTAAAAGTATGAATTCATGAAGCTGAAATCGTGAAGTTCAAAACACTTCGGACAATGTATATCAACATGCCATAACCATATCAAAACAAACATTGAGTGTAAATCACGTTAACATAAACGTGAAGGTTTACTAGCCACTCGTAATACATAGAGTACTTCATTTATATAAGAAACTTATTAAGTGACTTTCTTTTGTATATCAAGTGTCTGAATTATTAATAGTTTAAGTACTTTTGTAAATGGAACACAGAGACTCGAGTACATACATCATTCACATATTTGTTGAAAGTATTATCAAAACCCGATTTTGTTTGCTGACAAAACAAGTTTTGGACAATACGAATGAGAAGGCAACGATAATTATATGTACGTTTACTTGGTAATGCGAAACACTATATTACGGTAAGACATATGCATCCTAATTGATGATGTATGCGCCCAGGTGGACGGCTAGGATAGAAAAAAATACCAGTATTTTTTTATTATCTATTAAAAGACTAAAGACTAATAAATATCAATTAAACTCCAACTAACCTCCCACCAGCCTCGCTCAAAACAATGCATTAGACAATGGAAAGAACAGAAGAGAATGCCAATTTTTATAGTTTCGAAATGTCTTATGTATATTGTACGCAGCTCGTCTTTAAGTGTAAACATGTTTAATTTCAGGGCGTAATTGCTAAAAAGTATCATGAAAGTATCGTCAAACACAAACAGGAAATAATTCAAGTAAATAATGTTAATGCTGCATTTGCAAACAATGTTCAGCCTGGTAAAGATCGAACAATTCGTAAGTTAAAACTTATCGGGGTTTACAAATATGGATACTGTCATTAACGCTTTGTATAAGAAATACGTTGTATTAGAAATAAGAAATTGACGCCTTTTGATAAAACATTTTAGTTACTTTAACCCTGTAACGTGCTGAATTCTGAACTATTAACTCCTCGGTAAAGTGTCAAGCTGGTCTACACATCAGCGCAGTTTGACAAGAGTTTAAGCTATACTGTTAGTAGCTCATTTTTTGTCATTTGACACTGATATCCCTCAAACTTAAAATGGACCGTTCCAAATTAACATCTTTGCAAATCCGTGTTACAAATTCATCAGCCTATGTTGATTTTAAAATTAGACTGGAAAGACAAAAACACAACAAAATAATCAACAAACAAACGAACAAAATGATAAAAGAACGCAAGATAAATAAGCTGACATTGTTTTTATTCACTTTTTATGATTTGTCCTTCATTACATTGCGTACATGCGTTACTCATTTGTTGTTTGTTATCTTTACGTTACGTTTGTTGACGTATATAAGTGTATGTTAAACTCATAAAATAAAGTAAAAGGCTATCCTCTACTTTTCGATGACCAAACATAAAAATAATCTATATTATACATACAAACCAGGGGTTAAAAACCAGGACCTCTAGTTGTGAATGTAAACAATAGAAGTGGCTGATGTTATATAAATACTCTTGACCCTTTCTAAAACGTATGATGTTTTTAAGTAGTCACGTTTTACGTACTTAACTTATTAACGCTCACGCGCGTGATTCAGAAACGCTGCGGCTATAAAAAGGAGCTAAGCATACACTGCGTCAGTGTTCATCAGAAATCTTTGTTAAAATTGTTAAATTAATTTGTAAAAATTAAAAAACCCAATTATGGAGTATACGCTGAGATTTTTTGTCTTCATAAGTTTAGTTGCCGTTTGTTTTAGTCAGGTTATTTCCTTTACAGGAAAGTGCCCAAAGGTCTATGTTCAAAAAGACTTTTCCATAGAGAAGGTAAGAATTTAGGACATCTATACTTTGATACTCTCAACATGTCAAAATCAGCATATATTGTTGTCTTTAAAAATCGTTTACTGAAAGCTGATCATGATGATAATGATGATGATGGTGATGATGATGGTGGTGGTGGTGTTGATGACGCAGACGACGATAATGATGATGATGATGATTATCATTGTTCTTGTTGTTGTTATTAATATTATTATTATGATTATTATGATAATTATTATTATTATTATTATTATTATTATTATTATTATTATTATTATTTTAGTGCATTTTGTGAGCAATTGAAAATAAGATGTTGGTCGTCTAAAAACTTGATTACCATTTCATTCTTCATTCATTCTTCATTCCTTCTGCATAATTATGATAACGTCGGTGAGGTTTTTTATTGCACACGTCTGTGACTCTAAATGTAAAAAAAATGTTTTATGCTCGCTTGACGCTTGCAATTCTATGTTTCAGTATATAGGAAAATGGTACGAGATGGAAAGATTTTTTGCTTCTTTCGAGGCGTTCCATGATTGTGTAACGGCAAACTACACCCTGCAGCCTGGTGGTGTGGTAAAGGTTAACAATACAGGATACAGTCATAAATTCTGGTTAGAATCTTTTTTAGATAGTTGTAAATATGTTGGGGTATTTGTGTTTGTTTGTTTTTTGCTAGCGGACTGCGAAGCGGGATTAATATTATCACATCTTATTTCTTATGGGTGTATTTAATTTTTATCGTTTTCTGTTGGGGTGAAAGAGTTTGTTTTGTTTTGTTTTATACTTTGCGTGGTCTCGTTCTTTCTTGTTTTTATATGAATGATGATATATATAATCATTATTTGTTGTTATTTTTATTATTGTTTATCTTTTAATATTTTTTTATTCATTGTTTATTAGGGGTAGTATTTTAATTACTAGTATTATGTGTTTGTTTGGTGTTTTGTGTTTACTATACCTTTAGCTTTGCTAATAACTTAGGTTATTTATGTTTGTATTGCGATGCTTGACAATACTATATCTCTAAATCTACAAAACATAAGAAAGTAAATACAGATAGCAGTAAAACACTGTTTAAACCCTTTACTCTTAGCTCTTATAAAATTTATGATAAAATAACAATGTTTAAAGTTTAGTTAAGAATTTTGAACATTTTTATGTACAGGGATAAGGGATATACTACTGCGATAGGTGACGCAGTTGCTGAGGACCCAAACAATCCTGCTAAACTTGGGGTCAGGTTCTCACCACGTAAGTTATCTGTAAAAAAATCATATTTGAAATACTTGTACTTGTACAGGGCACTTGGCTTTCTACTTTGAAAACTGAAAATATCACTATAATTAATTATGACAAAGAATTTTCCAGACTCGATCTTAAGATCTGATCCTGAAAGTAAAATATATTCATAGCTTTGTTTTTCATAGTTGGAAACATTAAATTTTATCATTTTTATGGACATTTAAGCCCCATGTTATGAGAATAGATTGATTGCTATATAGTTTTGTTAAAGAATCATTACGTCATAGCTATCAATGTTAACAATTGCGACACTTTACTTATACATCTGTTTTAAAGGTCAACCACGTGGTGATTACTGGGTACTGTCAACTGACTACAACACCTACACCGTCATCTGGTCCTGTACAGATTTACCCATCCCGTTCCTTAAAGCAAACTTACGTAAGTAGAATGACAGTATGTGTTATATTAAGTTATCGACCGTACCAAAAGCTCATTAACTGTCATTTACAGACTTCGCCTTTTCCTGTTATTAACATTAATTAGAAAACACTTTACGGGGAAAGATTTTTGTTTATCCGTGTTAAATAGACGCTTATGTTGTACATCCGCAGTGAGTGAAAAGCACATACTTTTACAGATTGTATGATTGCATTTTAAATCAGCCAATTATTTTAGCAACATATTTCAAAAACAAATTTATTGAACATGTATTTAAACAAATGAGTCGCGTCACGACAAAACCAACATAATGCGTTTGCGACCAGCATGGATCCAGACCAGCCTGCGCATCCACGCAGTCTGATCAGGATCCATACTGTTCGCTATCAGTTTCTCTACTTGTAATAGGGTTGGTAAGCGAACAGCGTGGGTTCTGATCAGACTGCGCGGATGCATGTCTGGATCCATGCTGGTCGCAAACGTACTATGTAGGTTTTGTCGTGACGCGGCTCAAATGGTGTAAATCTTGGTTTTGTCATAATACAACAGTACAACTCTGCACTTTGCATTCCTAACAAACAACATGCCCGTCTATAAAAAGGCACTATAGTTATATCACTTTTCCTCTTTCAGAATTCGCGTGGATTTTGACAAGACGTCCTGGAGGAATATCCACACAAAAGAAGGAACGACTCTACCGGCTGATGGAAGGATATGGAATTAATACGTCTAAATTTTCTGCGACGAACCAGGAAAATTGTCCAGGGCGTTAAAAACGAAATGGACGTTGTATATCGACTGTTATGGTCAGAGAAGTGTGTAGTAGTGAGAATTTGAGGTGCTTTACAGACTTGTGGATTTATTCCTTGGATTCTCAATGTGCATCATTTTATGTAGTGTTTTTGTAGATTTTTAAATGCATAATACATGTATGTATTATCTATGTGCAATAAAACAATAATATGCTTTCCTTTAATAAGTTTTCTTTATAAAACATGCATCTTTTTATACACCAGTGAGTGAGTGAGTTGGTGAGTGTGTGTGTGTGTGTGTGTGTGTGTGTGTGTGTGTGTGTGCGTGTGTGTGTGTGTGTGTGGGATGGTGAGTGAGTTGGTGAGTGAGTGAGTGAGTGAGTGAGTGAATGAGTGAGTTGGTGGGTGAGTGAGTGAGTGAGTGGAAAGTGTGCGGACGAACAGATGTAAGGACGTCCGAACGGGCATGCAGGCGACCGAGCGAGTAAAAGAAGAAATGAAATTAGTTCGTTTCATATATCTATATATTAACACCAAGGTGCATTTACGTCGTATATCCACTACTGTGCTTAAACTTATAAAACATTATAATTATGCCTTGCTTGTGAGGAGGTTTACTTAAATTTCTTGTATAACCTCCCCTGCACAACACATATCCTTTTCTTCTTGGAAAAACAATCTGTTGTGCAACTCCTTGCAATTAATAAAAATGCATATCACCGTGGGTTTGGTCAGATTGACTTTATTCCCCGAGGCTAGAACTGGGCTTGGTTTTCCGCTAAGAAGTACTATGTGGGTTTCTTCAGTTTGACTGTATTCCTTGAGGCAAGAATCGGGCCTGGCTTTCCGTTACAAACTACTTAAAAGGCCAATAATGGTGGACATCGTCGGCTTTACTGTATTCCCTGAGACTAAAACCGGGCTTGGTTTTCCGTTTAGAACTACAAGAAAGTTCTATCACTAACACAATCATTTTTTCAACATTAATACAATAATAACAGATGAATTTATGTTTTCAATGGCTATACTTTTAATGTCTGCGGAACTCACCTAACGCACATGCTTGAGCAATATTGATAAGAATTTACAGAGTATCTTAAGATCATTTTCCGACTGTATGTTGACAATTCGTTTAAAGTTAAGATCATTATTTTCAAGGCAGAAAGTTTGAAAAATGTTTTGTCTTTGTTTTTTGAATTTTTCGCAACGTAATAAATAGTGTTTCCTATTGCCAATAGCGTTTTCTGAACAAAGTACGCATCGCCTATTTTCTGGAGACGTCCCGTCCCAGCGTCCCGTTTCTTCTGGAAAGTGCGTGTTATTTGTACGAAATTTAAACATTATTTCCCGTTCATACTTTGGTAAACGTATTAGATATTGTTCAATACTATGGGTTTCTTTATAGACTGCATAAGTTCTACCCTTATTAGATGACTGGAGTTGTGTGTTCCATTCCTGATAATACTGATCGATAAGGATTTGTTTTATAGAATTTCCTAAGATTGGGGTATTTAGGGCAGGTTGAAGTAACCACACATCTGCTCTACCACTAGATTTAAGTATAGTTTTAATATGTCTCAGCCATTTAAAATCTTTTTCTGGTTGTTTAAGCATATATTGATTGATTTTGTAAGATAACTTTGAGACTTTCCCAGTAACTAACCTATTCCAGAACGAGATCATCCTATTTTTAATCATAATTGATATCGGTATTACTCCAGTCTCGCCGAATAACATATATTTAGGTGTTGATTTACGAGCACTAGTAATTTTTCTAAGAAACTCGCACTGAACTTTTTCAATAATTTCTAAAGATTCATACCCAAAAATTTCTGATCCATACATAGAATTGGGAGAACAGTATGGTCAAAAAGCTTAAGAATTAAATCAAATGGTAAACTTGAATTATTTACCTTTGTTAAAAGAAGGTATAGGCCCTTATTGGCTTGTTGGACGATGTGTTTACGAGCTTGTAAAAAAGAACCATTACTAGAGAAAGTTAATCCGAGGTATAAATATTTTCCGTTATTTCTAAATTTGATTTGCCTATATGAAATTGGAAATTTCTTACATTTCTTGCGCCGAATATCACTACCTTTGTTTTGTTTGTGTTAATATTTAAATGCCATTGTTCGCAGAATTGATTAAAGTGTAGTAGTGTATTTTGGAAATCAATTTTTGAATTGGATATAATCACTGTATCATCGGCATAGAGTAAAACTAGCAGTTTTAGCCAATACGTCGAGTGTATCTGTTAACTCTATCCCTACTGATCCTTGTGATTCTAAATATTCTTGTAAATCATTTAAAAAGATGGAAAATAAAACCAGACTTAAGTTTTCACCCTGTCTGACGCCTGTATTTGACCAGAAACAATCAGAAAATTCTCCTAAATGCGTTATTCTTGATTTTATATTTTGGTACATATTAAAAATGACATTAAATATTTTCCCATTTATATTCGTTTTGATTAGTTTTTGCCATAAACCTATTCTCCATACTTTATCAAATGCAGCAGAAAAATCAACATATGCACAGAACAGTTTGTTTCTTTTTCTTTAGAATTTCAATGAGAGCATGTAATGTGAAAATATGGTCTGAGCAGCTGTAGTATTTTCTAAAACCAGCCTGGTTTTCATGAAGAAGGTTATTTGATTCTAAATATAACGTTATTCTATTATTTAATACAGAAGTAAATAATTTTCCAAGTGTACTTAAAATAGTTATTGGGCGATAGCATTCCGGTTTCTTCGAATCGCCCTTATTTTTATATATTGGTATAATATACCCTTCTAACCAGGAGTTAGGGATAAAACCAGTATCTAAAATTACATTGAAAAGTTTAGTGTAAATAGGCAATAAAGGTCTTGAGTATATTTTATATACTCGTTTAAAATATTATCGGAGGGGCTTGCTGCCTTTCCATTATTCAAATTTTTAATACATTTTAAAATTTCGTCTGCGCAAATTTCCTTATTTAAAAAGTAGTTCGCATTAGAATTGTTTACATATTCGCTCGGGTCGAATTCATTATTGTCAGTGTCCGAGTTGTTTATATTCTTGAAATAATCGTAAAATTAAAAAGGCCTATCACCGTGTGTTTTATCAGCTTGACCTGAGCTTTACCTGAGGCTAGAACTGGGCTTGGTTTTCTGTTTAGAACAACGCAAAAGGCCTATCACCGTGTGTTTGGTCAGCTTGACTGTATTTTCTGAGGCTAGAACCTGTCTTGGTTTCCGTGAAGAAGTACTAAAAAATGCATATTACCGTGTGTTTTATCAGTTTGCCTGTATTGCCTGAGGCTAGAACCGGGATTGTTTTGTGTTATTGTTTTTTTATAGAACAAAACAATAGCCTATTACCTTGGTTTGGTCAGTTTGACTGTATTAACTGAGGGTAGAGACCGGCTTGGATTTTCGTTTAGAACCACTGAAAAGGCCTAACACTTTGTGTTTTGTCAGTTTAACTTTTTCCGTGAGGGTAAAACCAGTCTTGGCTTTTCGTTAGAAACTACTAAATAGGTCTATCTCCGTGAGTTGGTCAGCTTTACTTTATTTCCTGAGGGGAGAACCTGGCGTTCCGGTTTAAACTAGGAAAAGGCCTATCACCGTTGTTTTGGTCAGCTTGACTGTTTTCCCTGAGACTTAAACTGGACTTGGCTTTCTTGTAAGAACTACTAGAAAGGGTTTTCACCGTAGGCTTGATCAGCTTGACAGTATTTTCCGAAGCTACAAAAAGGCTTGGTTTCCCGTAAAGAACTACTAAAAAGGCCTATCACCGTGTGTTTGATCAGATTGACTGTGTTCCCTAAGGCTGGAACCGGGCGTTGGTTTCCGTTCAGAATTACAAGAAAAGTCTATCATCGAGTGGGTTTGAAATCTTGACTGCATTCTCCGAGGCTAGAACCAAGCTCAGTTTTACGTTAAAAAGTACTTAAAATGTTTATCACCGTGGGTTTGGTTAGCTTGACTGTAATCCCTTATGCTAGAACTGGGCTTGGCATTTGATAAGAACTACTAGAAATGTCTATCACCATGGGGTTGGTGAGCTTGACTGTATTCCCTGAAGCTTGAACGTGGCTTTGGTTTCCGTTCAGAACAACAAGAAAGGCCTATCACTGTGGGTCTGTAAGCTTGACTGTATTCTAGTAGGCGAGAACCGGGCTTGATTTTCCTTCAGGAACTACTAAAATTGCGTTTCAGCGTGGTATGGTCAGTTTGACTGTATTACTTGTGGCAAGAACCGGGCTTGGCTTTTCGTTACAAACTACTAAAAAGGCCATATCCGTGGACTTGATCAGCTTGACTGTCTTCCCTGATGCTAAAACCGGACTTGATTTTCCGTTTAAAGTACAAAAAAGTCTCCCACCGTGGGTTTTGCCAGCTTGACTGTATCCCCCAAAGCTAAAACCGGGCTTGGTTTTCCGTTAAGAACTTCTAGAAAAGCCTATTACCTAGGGTTTGGTCACCTTGATTGTATACCATAAGGCCAGAAACGGACTTTTCGTTAAGAACTACTAAAAAGACTTATCACCTTGGCTTTGGTCAGATTGACGTTATTCCCCCAAGGCTAGAACTGGGCTTGGTTTTCTAAAAAGGTCTATCAACGTGGGTTTTGTAAGCTTGACTGTATTCCCTCAATTTAGGACCGGGCGTAGTTTTCCAGTTAAAAAACTACTTAAAAGGCCTATCACCATGTGTATGGGCAGCTTGACTGTATTCCCTGAGGCTAGAACGGGGCTTTGATTTCTTTTAAGAAAAACGCAAAAGGCCTATTATCGTGGGTTTGGTCGGCTTGACTGTATTCTCTAAGACTAGATCCGGGCTTGTTTTTGTGTAGAACTACAGAAAAGGGCCAATCACCGTGGTTTTGGTCAGCTTGACTGGATTCCCCCGGCTAGAACCGGGCTAAGTTTACCCGTTAGTAACTATTTAGATGGCCAATCACCGTGGGTTTGATCAGCTTGACTGTATTCCCTCAGTCTAGGACCAAGATATCAACTAAACTGGCCTGTCACTGTGGGT